GGGGAGAGGCGAACGGGAGCTGCCGCCCGCGCGTGCCAATCGCAGGCAGCGACTGTTGGGGTGGGCGTGGCCTGGGCGGGCGGGGGCCGGGAGCGGAGCGGCGCGGGGCGGAGTCCTCGGGCGCAGCGGCGGCGGCGGCGGCGGCAGCGGCGCCCCTCTGGGTGACTTGGCCGTGAGAAAGTGAAAGGAGCCCGCAGGCGGCGGCGACAGCTGCGCTGGGCGGGGCTTGTTTCCAGGCGGGGAGGCCGCGCGCACTCTGGGGTCGTGGGGCGGGCTTTTCGGTGGGCACCGTGACAACCCTAAACACACTTTTCAACGTGTTGTGGGGCTGGGCTGCCCCCCAAGTTGCGCAGGTGTCCTCAGGAGGGAGGGCACCCGGGGACACAGGCGACACGAGTCCGGGACTAGGTGACGACGCCCGGGTCCTCGCCTGCCCGGTCGCCGGAGAGCGGAACCGAGGAACGTTCCCACTGCGACTCGCGGTGTCCCGCGCGCAGGTGGCCGTCGGGGCGCTGAGCTCGCGAGCCGCCCGGGGAGGCCGCGTCTGGGCGTCGTTCTGCTGACGTCGCCGTGTCACCGGCAGGACGGAGCGCCTGTATTTCTCGCAGAACCCTCGTGTCCCCTGTGTACCGAGGCTGTTACAAGTGATGGCATTCCCAAGGGACCCCATGTTAGAGCGTTACAGCAAAATTGGTACTTGCAGTTGCCGTGATTGGTACGTATCAAGCCACAAGTTCAAACTACCGAGGGAAAGTGTCGCTTTCCCTGCCTTCTTTTACTCGGTACCTGTTCTTTGCGGTGCCATTGGGTTAGTCCCTGCCACGGCCTCCAAGAAATGTAAGAAATTTCTGCCCCCTGAGAAACTGGAGATCTTGCTGAGGCAAGAATTACAATTAAAAAGTTGAATAACAAGTGGAAAAATGGTTTCAAGACAATGAAATAGGAAACTGCACAGTGAGGAAGTTCAGTCCCCTAGCAATTGTCTGATGAATTGTGTTTATTCTTTGCTAACTGAACCCCGACTGGCAAGCCTGTTGCTAACCGCCTTGCCAGGAGACCTTTCAACTGGGCATAATGTGCTTTCACTTTGTTCCAGGTCAAACGGGTGAAGTAAGTTGGAAGTATTGTGTGGGCAAATCAGACACGTTGAACTGCCAGTGAAGTCAGAACAGTAGCACACAAAATTCCTGCAACTGAGATAGCGTTTAGAATATCCTGTTAGAAACAGTGGTGATGTTTTCTACTCTATCCCCAATTTTCTGTGCCCTCAGATGGATCACTGAGGTCAAGGCTGTGCTTGTGATAACTAGAGTTTTTGTTCCATGAAGTCTGTTGTTGTATTCATGCTTTTGATGAATTCTAGGTCTTTCCAGTCTTCTTGTTAGAAGGCCCAATTTCAGTCTGACCTGTTTCAGGTTAGGGAAATGTATAAATGTTGCTGATGGATGAAACACACTAAACAAACAAACAAACAAACAAATAAATGTAAAAAGGAGTGCATGTTTCACCACCAAGTTCAGGAAAAAAGAGGGAAAAGAAATGTTTGTATTCTCAAAGCTCTTTCTCACCTGCTGAAAGTCAAAGATAAGGAAAGTAATAGATGTCTGGATGAATAGAAATAAAGTAATTGATACTTTCAGGATATTAAACAAATTCACAAGAAAATTAGAAGATTCAGATTATTCACAAAAAGCTTAAACACTCAGCTGTGTGGCATCTAAAGTAAAGTCACAGCTCTAACAAAACGTTTTCCAGAATGTACCTGCAAGTAGAATAACTGCCCCAGAGATGTTCAGGGGGAGACACTAAAAGTCAAAAGTCGTGACTATTGTGTGGTTTTTTTTCTTTCCTCAACAGTCATTACTAGAATCCATTTTGAGAGCTGAGTACTGTGGCCAGGAAATATTAAATGGGTATTTAAGGATGCAAGTATGTCACCACCAATTGCTACCTCCATCTTATTCCTGGTCCTCAGTAACATTTTCTCTGCCCTTTTTTTTCTACATTAAAAACACTTTTCGTACTTTCTGACTTTATTTTAAACTCTTATAAACTTGCTGTGCAAATGATACTTTTAATCCT